CAGATCCCCCAGAACCAGGAGCATTTTTGGGCTCCCAGCCCGGCTCAGGCACTATTCTGTGTATGTGTCTCCTCTCCCAGACACTCTTAGATCATTCCCACCGACCCCCAGACACCTACCGACCCCCCGGACACCCACTGACCCCCCAGACACCCACCTACGCCCTTCCATCCCCACCCAGTCCCATCCCCACCCACGTGTCCCCCATCACCAGGTTATAAAATCTGCCACACACACATATAGATATTTAGGATCTAAATGAATTCTGGATGCATTTAGAGGTGTAAAAAAAAAAAACAACCAAAAAACAAAACACAACAAACCAGCCCATCAATGGTAAGAAATGCTGCAGGCATCTCACACCCACCAGCAGCGCACGGGGCAGGGGGTCAGGTTGGCAAGGCGGCGTTTTTGCAGCTAACGGAGGAGCAACACGCACACATGCAGAGGATGCTCGGGCAGCGAGAGCTTTCCTCGGTTTAAAAGGGGTAGAAGGGGTACCCCATCCTTTGCTCATCTCTGAGGCCTCTGAGACACGCTCTGAGTGGTGCAAAGGTCCAAATAAAAAATTAAGAGAAAAACCTCACCCAAGCAGAATAATTAAACTTGGATTTTTCCCGATATTATTTGGGTTTGCTTTTCGTGGGTGCTGAGCCGCTCTCAGAAATGCATTTACTTTAGGAGGAGGAGTGTGTTGGAAGGAGCAGAGATGGCTGTGATGGGAGCTCTGACCAGGGTTGGAGTGGGACCAGTCTGCACTGGGAGCTCCTCGCTTCGTTCTTACTGCTCTAGGGCTCAGCTTAGCACTGCCACCGTCACCTTCCAGGCTCTTCTGGGTCATATTTTCCACTCTAAAATATCAGTGTGACTTGGGAGAACTGCTTTGGCGGAAGGGGAAACTGAGGCACAGGGCAGCGCAACCAACCAAAGGGAGTGCAACCTGCCCAGTGCACCCAGTTAACACAGGGGACTGTTACTGGAGTCCCCATCCAGCGCTAAGATGCTCCGGGACCCATGCGCATCTCTGCAGGTGGTGCTGCCCTGGCATTTTGGGGTGGCTGAAGCGGGATTTCCTTCATCCCACCCCGTTTCAGCGTCTCCCCGTTCCTTTTCAGAGCAAGAGGGGTGCTGCCAGCCGCGGGGGATGCTCCGGAGCTGCTGGTCCGGCACATCTTGCCAAACTTTGGCATCAGCAGGAGGAGAGCGGTCCCAGGTCTCCTCCATCATGTGACAGCAGTGACTGAGACCCTTGGGGGCTGAATTTCTCCCCTCCCTGCTCTTCCTCGCCCACAGAGCAGCCCCTCAGGCCCCAATTCAGTTGGCTCCTGGTGCCAGCCGCGGGGGATGCTCCGGAGCTGCTGGTCCGGCACATCTTGCCAAACTTTGGCATCAGCAGGAGGAGAGCGGTCCCAGGTCTCCTCCATCATGTGACAGCAGTGACTGAGACCCTTGGGGGCTGAATTTCTCCCCTCCCTGCTCTTCCTCGCCCACAGAGCAGCCCCTCAGGCCCCAATTCAGTTGGCTCCTGGCTATTTCCATCTTTCCTTCCTTCCAGCTTCTCTCCCATCACCTCCTGAGCTGGCAACTGCATGAGAGTGTGGTTAGAAATTCCACCCCCCCAAGTTCTTAGCCTCTTTTCCTTGTCGCATCGATGCCCACAGGATCTTGGCTCCTCTCTCTAGTCCAGTCTTGGTGAAAATTTCATCCCTAGAGTAGCTGCTGTTCCAGCTGGAGCATAAAACTCTTTTTTTTTTCCCCCCAGGAGAAACCACCCTAGTTGTGATTTTTACCTCTACATCCAAACTCTCGGATTTCCCTTTGCAGCCCGACTTGGGGGGTCCTGACCTCACTTCCATTGGGATTTCCAGGGGATTGACGCCCCCGTAGGGTCATGGCTTTTTTGGGAACACCCATGTTGAGTGTGTATTGAGATCGTGTAGATCATCAGCAGGTTCTGGAGGACTCGTTTGGTGGGGCTGGTGTGTGTACTGGTGCCTACTGGGTATATACAGAGATTTTATTTTATTTTTAAGACAGTTTTTGAAAAAAAAAAAAACCATCTTGAGCTTGGAGCAGAGGCCAAAGCTGAGATAAGACTCCTCGGGTCAGATCTTCAGCTGACATAAAGCTGGAGCATCACCATTGACTTTGGGGGGGGACACACCATGGGTGGCACCGGCTGTGAACCTGACTCTCCTATTTTTGGAGGTTGCTTTTTCTCCTGGGGCTAAATCAGATCTCACCTCCGCGGCTCATGCAGTAGGGCTGCTTCAGTGCCTGAGCGTTCACAGTGTCTCACTCTCTCCCTTGATATATATTTTTTTTCCTCCTACTTTGCTTTGAATCAAAGTTTTTTAATCTTCAAGTTTTCCTGAGATTTCCCATATGGGGGAATCTGAAAATTGGATTATTTTGGCCGTGCCACCGCTGGATGGACACATTTGTCTGGTTAAACCAGCCTTGCTCTAAGATCCCACTTTTTTGGTGGGTTTACTTCCCAAATTGTGGAATGCTGATGGGCGAGGGCTGCCGTCGGAGCTGCCACCAGCATGGCCACATCACAGCGTGTGATCCAGAGTGGTCTGGTCCTGGGGGGGTGTGGAGCATCTCAGCCCATCCCCGAGCAGGAGTCTGTCGGTGGGGTGGGAGAATCATCTTCCGGAGCTTTCTCCATCCATTAGAGCCTGGCTTAAACTTCACACCTAACTTTTGGAGGGCTGATGCTCTCTGTGCTGGACCCACCCAGCTTTGCCCTTGGGGACATCCCTCAAGGATGCTCTTGGCAGGCTCAGGGCTGCCGGCACGTTACCACCGGTGTCCAGGGCTGGGTTTTTCTCCAGCGTGACTCAGGCTGTCTCTGCTGCTGATTCACTCCAGCCGAGGACCCAGGCTGTCGGCTCCAGCAGGCTCGTGGTGCGGCTGCCTGCTGCGATCACAGTCGGTCGGGTGGGTTCAACAGCAGAAGGTCACATCCTGCCCAGTGCAAGGGGTGCTGGAGTAGGATCTGCTCCCAGGAAGCCAAAGCCATTGTGCTTTTGTGCTGGAGGAAGGTAGTAGAGGAGCTTTTCTGCTCGGAGGCTTTTTCTTTTTTTTTTTTCGGGGGTTCTTGGAAACAGATGCTCTGGGTAATGGACTCATCATGAGCTCATCCCGTCGGGGAGGAGAGCTGAGCAGGATTGATGGGGGGGACAACAAAGCGTTTTCTGTCTGACACAGCCGGTGATTTCCACCGCATGCTGCCGGCCCTCCTCACTCACATCTGAGGCCAAGCAGCAGCGTCAAGGGGACAAAGACATCACCGCTGGGGCAGGGGGGAGAAATGGGAGCATCTGGGTGTCACCAGATCCAAGCATCAGCAGGATGTGGAGCTCTGCCTGCTCCTCTCCTCCTCGTCCTGCCCTCCTGGGACCATTCGTGGGCACATCGTCCACCCCTGATCTTAGGAAGCAGGGAGGGAGCAAAAGGACATCTCTGGTACATCCAGACCCCAAACCTCATAGTTGTGAGTGGTGTGAACATCTCATCTGGTGGGGTCTGGGATGAATGTGTGGGAAAGCTCTTTGACTTTGTCCTCCCAAAATTCCCTTTTGTGTGTGTTCCTGGTGGAGGCTTGCTCCAACCCCAGGCCAGGTCTCCCTTCATCCCCATCACTGTCATTTCTGGCACATCTCCAGCCCAGCACACCTTCCCCTGTACATCTCATAGCACTTGGAGAAAGGTCCTGGACTGATGGCCCCAGACACTGAGGTTTGCTGCCAACTCACGGGGCAGGGCCAGGGAACCCTCTCTGTTCTCCATCCTTGGTCTTGGAGAAGTGGGTAGTGGCAGCAGAGCTCCTGGGGTGTTTTGAGCCTGTTGCACTCATTTTTGTTGAACGAGGACTTCTCCCATCCCTGCTATTGCTATGGACTAGCAGGGGTTAGAAGAGATGTACCGAAGGCAGGTAACACCAGAAGTGTGCCTCAGGCTGTCACGGTGGTTCATAAAATTGCCCCTCTCCTCCACCAGTTGACCCAAATCAGCTAACGGCCCGGGTAATTTCTGCTTTCACAGGTCGTTGCTTTTGCCTCGCTTTTCTTCATCCTGGTCTCCATCACAACCTTCTGCCTGGAGACGCACGAGGCCTTCAACATCGACGTCAACGTGACGGAGACCCTCGTGGTTGGCAACACCACGACGATCCTGCTGACGCATAAAGTGGAGACGGAGCCCATCCTCACCTACATCGAAGGCGTCTGCGTCCTGTGGTTCACCCTCGAGTTCCTGGTTCGCATCATCTGCTGTCCAGATAAGCTTCTCTTTGTTAAAAACCTGCTCAACATCATTGACTTTGTGGCCATCTTGCCCTTCTACCTGGAGGTAGGTCTCAGTGGCCTGTCCTCCAAAGCTGCCCGGGACGTACTGGGCTTCCTACGGGTGGTGCGTTTCGTTCGGATCCTCCGGATCTTCAAGCTGACACGGCACTTTGTGGGTCTCCGGGTGCTGGGCCACACACTGCGGGCCAGCACCAATGAATTCCTGCTCCTCATCATCTTCCTCGCCTTGGGGGTCTTGATTTTCGCCACTATGATCTACTACGCCGAGCGGATCGGAGCCAAGACGTCCGACCCCCGCGGGAGTGACCAGACTCACTTTAAGAACATCCCCATTGGGTTCTGGTGGGCTGTGGTCACGATGACGACCCTGGGCTACGGCGACATGTACCCCAAAACCTGGTCGGGCATGGTGGTGGGGGCTCTCTGCGCGTTGGCCGGGGTGCTCACCATTGCCATGCCCGTGCCCGTCATTGTCAATAACTTTGGGATGTACTATTCGTTGGCCATGGCCAAGCAGAAGCTGCCAAAGAAGAAGAAAAAGCATATACCCCGTCCGGCCCCACTGGACTCCCCAACCTATGGCAAATCTGAGGAAAACTCCCCCCGTAACAGCACCCTGAGCGACACTTGCCCCTTGGCAGTAGAGGAGGGGGTGGCTGAGCGGAAACGATCAGGTGAGACCCCAAAAGTGGGACAGAGGGAGGGGGAGACCTCTGGGAGCCCCCCAGGCAGCGTTGGTGGTCCCCTGTGTCCCAGAATCCCTGGAGACCTCCCTGCTGCAGGATGCGGCCCCCAGCTCTTGGGTTGGTGAAAACTTGACGCAGAAAGGGCTGGGGCCCTTGGGTGTCCGGGTGTTGGGTGCTGTGTTGGTGGACCAGGATGGTGCAGGTCAAGATCCGCCCCCAGGCAAGAGGGGAAAGGCCACATCCTACTCTCCTAAGGGCACAGATCAAGTCACCACGGTGTGATTCAAGGTGTCCCTACCTAGCCCACCTTGTCCTTACGCTGACAGAGGTAAGACCATTTGCCCCATTCCCATCTTAGCCTTGGGGTAGATTTTCTTTTGCTTCTTCCCATCATAAATCAGGAAGCTTCACCACAATGGATAAATCCATGGATATTCCCTGGGGCTTGACCCCACCTCCCCGTTCATCTCCTAGTAGATGGAGCATCCCCGCACAGCAAGGTCAACGCTCAGGCAGGAGCAAAATCAGCCCATGGGCATGTATTATTTGGTCTCGTGCACTGAGCTGAAGTTTGGGGTTTGGCCAGTCTTTCCTTCAGGTCAGGAGATGGCATGGCCCCAGCGTTGCTTGGGGGACGGCAAGAGCCCTGCAAGAGCTGGCCACGAAGGCTGCTTTGAACTTTGTCTTGGTTTGCTGCCAGCGGCACCTCTGGAGCAGACGGCTTTGCAGAGTGGGAACAAGAGGGACCACGGTGGGGTTGTGTCCTGCACCATGGTAGCGTTCACTGAGGTCCGCCTTGAGCAACCACATATGTCTAAGAGTGATGGTCCTTCACCTCTGGGGATGCAGGGAGCTCCATATGCCCCAGATAGATGTTTCCCCTTATAAATCTCTCTTTTCCACGTGCCTACAGATGCCACCTGCCCTAGGAGCCCTAGCACTGGGGAGCACTGGGAGCAGCTGCCCTGCTCTGGAGGAGCAGGTCAACCCCATCCCTCCAGTGCTGATCCAGGAGCTCAGGCGAGACCCTTACCGGGCATAGCATCCTCTCAGCTAACGAACCCCAGAGTCAGCTGACATAAATTGGTGCTTCACCACTAACCTGAGCAGCTCGTATCTCAGCGCTGTGCATTTTGGAGACCTAATTCCCACCAGTGAGGTGGGTGGATCCCAAAGACCAGGGGTGTTTCCTCTACTCTATATACGCAGGGTATATAAGCCGCAGCTGGAGTAAGAGCTGCTGTTTGCTTCTTGAGATGAAAATCTCTGTGGTCCTGCTCCCCTGGTCACTCTAAATGAGCATGGCCAGGCTGGGATCAGTCCCTGAATTTGTGGGTGTTGCTCTGGACCATCTGCAATCTGGTCTTCTTCTTGCATGGTCCAAGAAAACCCTTCTGGCCACCTCATCCCGTGGGATTATTGACCTCTGATGGGTCTCTGCTGCCTTCTTGCAGACTCGAAGCAGAACGGCGAGGCCAACGAGGTGCTGTCGGACGAGGAGAAGCCGCTGTCACCAACAGATGAGGAGAAGCGGCCCATGCGGCGCTCCAGCACCCGGGATAAGAACAAGAAATCCTCCACGTGCTTCCTGCTGGCCACAGGGGACTTCTCCTGCGCAGCGGATGGAGGCATCCAGAAAGGTATGGCTGATGCTGGAGGTGTGAGCTGGCCACTGGGCTGGGGAGGGCGAGATGTAGGAGGTGGAGGTTTTTTGCATCAATCCAAGACCGGGGTTCATCTCCACCTGCTTGCCTGGCTGTTCTCTGCTCCCCAGATCCACTTGTCTTTCCGCATCTCCATCCGCTTCATCTCCATCCACCACGTCTCTCTGTGCTAGCTCCGTTCTTTTTGTTTTCTCTTCCCTCAAGTTCTCCTCCCCTGATGGCCACCGTCTGGGGTCTGGGATCCTGCCCTCCTTGGGGACAGGTCTGTCCCTCTGCTCCCCAGTGCTCCAGCTTCTCCTGTCCCTCCAGCTCTTCTCCTTGGGCTTCCATCACCCATCCCAGGGTGATGTGAGGGTGACTTTTCTTCTGGGGATGTGGTGAGGTTGGGACTGAAGGTGGTCAGAAGGTTTTCAGTAGGGGAAAAAAATCCAGGGAAAAGGTTTTTCCTTTCCTTTCCCCCTCGGATGTCTCTTGGTGGGTTCATGTGTGGGGAGCCGCGATGTGTCGAGCGCTGCCGTGCCAAAAGCGCTGGGCTGCCAGCAAGGCTGTCTCCTCCGGGCTTGGAAAGGGAGCTTGGCGACGTGTTGAGGTTTTCTATGGGAAACTGTGGGGGAGATGAGTCAGGAAAACACAAAACTCTTCTTCCCATGACAAAACAACAGTCCTCTCCAGCCTGGTCCCTTTGTGCCGTCCTCCAGCCTTCTCTGCTCCGTGTCCTGCGCCCATCTCCCAGCACCCCAGCCCCTGGGGGGGTTACATCCAGTGCCCACCCTGAGCCCCAAAACCCAGCTGCACCCTGGATTGCTGGGTTAATTCTTAGGACACGGCTCAGTTTTTTTGAGTTCTGCCGTTTTTCTTGTGTGTCCAAGGTGGTGGGGGATGATGTAGGTGCAGAGCTGAGCTTCCTCTGCCTCCTTGGTACCGTCTAATCCCAGTTCCTCCCAGGGATGGGTGCATCCAAGCTGGGAGCAGGCAGGAGGAAAGAGGACGCGCTCTGTCTCCGAGCTGCGCACCAAGACCTGGTGGCTCATGGTGTGGATGCCTTGGAGGCCCTCGAGGGTTTGTTGCTGTAGAACTGCTTGGGATGGGCTTGGGACATAGGGAGATGTTTGGGAGTAATCATAGTTATCAAATTAGTTAGAAGCAAATTGGTTGCTTCCTCCTGGGAAATCAAGGATTCCCTTTGGTGTTCCTGCTCAACCTCATCCCTTAGAAAGAGGAAAAAATTGAAAAGCTTTGCTCATCTTTGGGCAGAAGGCTTCTATACAAATATTTGCTTGAAAAGCCTCCGATTTTTCCTGGCGGTGCCTTTTTCTGGGAAGTTGGTCTCTTTTCTTATTGCCTGCTAACGAGGAGAGATGAGGAGGCTCTAGTCCTGCCCCAGACTGGGGGGGATGCTGAACTGGAAAGGATGAAGGAAAGCGATGAAAACCAGTGCTGATCTTCATCCTTACAAGATGCTCAAGTCAGGCATTTGAGTTTGGTCCCCTGAAGCCAGGAGAACTAGAGTAGATCTAATGGCTGAGGATCCAGGGCTGCTCTCGCTGGGCTCCCAAACCTTGGTTACAGGAGACCAGGAGGTTTCTCCATGTGCGGTGACAGCAACAGCTATTCAAAAGGACGCTTTGGTGATCTTTCTTGGTTTGTTCTGGTGTCCTTCCTGCAAATATCAGAGTAATTTATACAATTAAAAATAGGTGTGTACGTGGGTCACTCACCCCCACCTTGCTGAGATGCTCTTGCACCCGGAGAAGGGTGGATCTGGTGTCCAGAGGGGCTTGAGCGATGCACTTTGAGACCTTTTGGGAAGAGAGAACCTCAACATCTGCATCCTGCTTGGGCTACGGGGATGGAGCAGCGGGATGCTGTCCTGGGAGGTCAGGGCTGACGTCTTGGCCCCAGCGTGGTCAGGGTTAGTGGTGACCAGAGATGATCAGAGGGGCAAAGCCACCTCCTGCCCTCCAGCCAAAAGCCGTTGGGAGCTGTAAAGGCACCTTTTCCCTCGCTCCTGATTTATCTCCTGCTGAGGCTGTTTGTTCTGGTACTGGGATGTTGGCAGCTCTGCAAATTGAGATGAGCTTGGTTCTGAGCCCAACTTGCTGATGGCCATCTGTCAGATCCTGGGACAGGTACCGATGTCTGTACAAGCTGTGGAAATCGGGAGACGGAGCTGCTTCAGGAATATGCTGCAGATCGCAGCATCGGTCCGAGCCCGATTCCAGTGGCTGATCTCCTTGGGGCACCTCAAGTTGAAGAACTACCCCTGCCCACCCCCCTTAAACCTCGGCCCTGGAGAAGATGGAGCTGGATGGCCATGGATTGCCATGTGCCATTGTCGTGGTTTATAAAACCACGGTTACAGTTTTTTCCTAAACACCTGGTGGGCTGAGGCAGGGAACTGGGAGGGTTTCACTCACCACTTAGGGTCACGGGCAAGAGACCGACACGACTCGTGAAGAACAATAAAACAACGGAATTTACTAACTATTTACAATAAGAAGCGGGATATTGAAAGAGAGAAACCACATCTTACACAAAAGGCACTTCTTCCCCATCCCTCCCTTCGTCCCAAAACCCAAAGGCTTCGTTCCGTACCTCACCCCCCCCAGCAGCACATGGCGGG